TGAGTATAAATATAATAAAATACAAATATGATTCACTTCTTTGAACACAGCAGATTGTTCACTATGCTTTTTACAAAAAGAGACCAATATAATACAATATAGATAGAACTGGAGGCTTTTGTACACAATGACACACCTTCCCGTAAAAATGCAACTCCTCCACTCTGTGCCATGAGGAAATGCTTGGTGATGAGAAGATGATCAGCTAATGCTGGTCAGAAGAAGGACTCTTTTTGCAGATGGTACACACAGTTTTTTGTTATTTTTTCATGTAATGTTGCTTTAGTGTTAAAAATCAACTTCTAATTAGGTTTCACATAATTATGCTCATGTCCTACAGTCTCAGTGTCAAATTCTAGTTGCAAAGAACATTCAAATAGAAAGATTCATAAATATACTTTTGAGAAAAATGGATATTAATTGCATTTTAAATATTTAACACAGGAAATTTCAGTATTTTTATTTAGAACTAACTGAAATCATCGTACACAGGCTGTAAGCTTAAAGTCTTCTCAGGGAGGGCCAAGCATGACAATCGGATTTAACTATATTCAAAGAATTTTTTATTTTTTGAAAAAATATAAAATTTCATATCTTACACTACAAAAACACGTACACAAAACAAATGCACATAGAGCTTCAGATGGGGAAAAATACAGAAATGCTAATCCTTCCTTGAATTAACGCTGAGGCAGGGACTTGAGATATCCTGATGCCTTGCATAAAGTAGGATACACTATACAGCTGCTTCTGAATGGCCTGAAACTAAGAGGTTTTAATAAACATATTAACAAATGAGTGAGTCTAAGTTTTATTCTCAGACTATTATAAATGAAATTTACATACTTTTAAATAATTGTAAAATTGTAGCAGTCTAAAGATTCACAAAAATGTTGACCACTGAAACTTCTACTGTTAATATAGCTCAGCCTTAATAAACAACATATTTTGGGACCTTCCAATTTTTTCACTTACAATTAGAAGAAACAAATGACATTTGATTCTGATTATTACAAATAGACTCATTTTTTAAAAAGAATTGGTATATTCTTCTAACCAATAATTATGTGGTCATTCTGAACAAGAACATTTAATCATTTATGTGTCAAAAGACTTTTTCAAAGATTAACAAAAAATGAAAAGAAAGTTTTTATCTATTTTTTTCTTTGATACATTACTATATAATTAAGAGCATAATAGAGAAAAATATTCAATGTAACCAGCTGTTCTACAGAGTTGAAAAAATGACTTATTTCAGTTATTAATTTAAAATAAAACTAGTGTTTTGATTGTTTATTCATTATCATCATCATCTTATTGTACCTACTTTCTATTTACTTTGAGGTTAAACATCTGGCAGGACATAAGCAAAGACAGTTACTATCATTAGCTTTCTTTTTTCTTATTTTTAGAAAGAACAAACTGAGGAAAAGGATCTTATTCTACTATGCAACATCATACATCTAGTAAATTTCTAACATCTGACTCAAATAGAATTTGTGATCCAATACACAATTACAGCCAAAAATGTCTTCCACAGGTAAATATCTCTGCTTGTGCTTCTGAGAATCCACTTTAAATGGGAGAAAGAACAGTGTTTAAACAATCTTGTAATTTACACATAGAGATTAAGTAGCAGACATGCAAACACATAAGTGTTCAACTGATATTACTTTTTCATTTTAAACTTGAGATGTGAAACTATTTCTTCACCATTGCACACTGGTTAAACTCTTTTACAAATTGAGTTAAGGATGTTCTTAATTTTTGGCAACTCTGAAACTAATAACGCTGGCCGCATTTAAGTTTAGATAGAATACTGGAATATAATTTTTACAGTAATCCTACTACTTTAGAATACTGACTTGGTGATTAAAATACAAGAAATTAAAGATTATGCACATTGATTTTTTTTTAAGTGAGAAAAATCAGACTCTTAACAGTTTTACATACAATTGATACATTTTAATGGCCAAGAAGAACAACTGATTATATGACCTTTTTTACATGTTGAGCAAATGGCAAGATTAGAAAACAAATTATGATTGATAAAAGTAGTGATTGAATGAATTCAATAGATATCAGTAAGTTGAAAATTAGTCCCTGCTTATATCTATTTTTCAAAGTTTAATATTGAGACTCATGCCCTAAAAGTATTGCTACTGAGAGTTACAGTAACATTATGTATAATTTGACAAATCTGTCTTTCGGGCTAAAATTATTGTCTATTTTTACTTTTGTTTGTCTGGAGAGTGAAAAAATGAACCAAAAGGATAAGAGATCACATGATAAAGATTTGTCAAACCATGCCCTGGGTTACTGCCTCACTGCAATTCACAAAAACAGTTCCTTTCTCCTTGCTTCAAGTCTCACATTTATAGATGAGATTGGCACTTCCCAACTGGTGATATATCCAGTGTTGAACAAATATTTAGAAAGAAATTCTATCCTCTTTTGTGGGAGAGTACATCTTATTTGAAAGTCTCTTTTTCCCCTCTAAAATTAAATTGACATTCCTTAGAAATTTTCAACCAAAGTTAGATATGAATGAAAGCTATATGTCTATTCAACATTCATCTCAATTTACTTTCCAAGATGAACACCAAGATTGCAAAGGAAAAAAAAAATAACTTAGATTCAAAATAATGACTAACGTTCTGTTGCGAAAAAGAGGAAATCTACATTGCTATTTCAAATTCTAATCACTTAGGTGTATTCTATCCTGACCTTCCAATCATTTTTGAACATGTAAAGCTGGAAAACAGTTTAAAAGCTCTCTTTTTTTGTGTGTGTAAGTTCTAAAATTTATGATAGTTTCTCTTTTAAGTAGATGTCTATTCTTACTTTGAAATTTCTCAGTTGTTACTTTATCACTTAGATTCGGTTCAATAAAATGCAACACAATCTCAAACTATTTTGTACAAAAGGAATTAGTTTAGTTAATTTTATATTTATTAAAATGAACAAATACATCTTTAATAATGGTGATGCCAACTTACTTGTTAAATCCACCTTTCTTTCCTTTTTCTGGGAATTTCACTAAACTAGAGTATACTTGAAACATAGTTTGTGTAGAACCAAAGTACATTAGACCTAATAAGGAGTTACAGCCCTAATTAGATGGAATTCATCATTTGAAAAATCGTTTAGAACTTTTAATTTTTTTCTTTTTAATTTTTTTCCTTTTTATTTTTCATCTATGATCCTTAGCAAGAAGCTACTTCACTGTTGAAGTACAGAGTGGGTATGGTAGAAAGAAGTTATCAAAGGTTTATTCTCTTATGTGCTAGCATTCAACTAAAAACAGGTGCTTGGGAAAGAGAAAGAAAATACCATTAATATAATGCTGGTATGGATTTCACTAATCCAGGCTACTCCAATAAACTATTTGATAATCACAAGTAGGCTCTCTTTTGTTTAAATGTCGTGCTCCTTGAATAATCACGTCAGTCCCATGATTTCTATAAAATGTACTAGTATAAAAAAATTTGGTTATTTTACTAGAGAGTTCAGTGCTGTTCAAATTCTAATAAACTATATAATTAGTACCACAGATGTCAATCTTCATCAAGTGTGGTATATAGAATATCTTATATTCCTTAATAAGGCCAATTGAATAATACTTCAAATTGGTTCATCAAGATAAATTCAATTTGATATAACTGAATACAAGATGAAATTTCCAAATGAATAGACAGTCATCAATGAATAAAATTCGAGTCTTGAAATAGAGAAAATTCTGAAAGAAATATATACATTTGTCATCATTCCATTGCTGTGTTAGTATCAAAATTTCTAGAGCTCAGCCACAAATAAATGGTTACAAAGGATTAACACTTAGTGGTAATACTTAGTGCTGCGTGCCTGGATTTAACAATATTAACAG